GAAGAGGTACACTACTTGGTTATTAGTTACAACTACATAACCCATAAAACTACTTAACTACATGGTGGCTAACGCTAAAACAACTGCGGAGCTGGACATACAATGCTCCAGTTATATTGCCACTCCATACCGCCCCCCTGACTAACTAGCATATACACGCCAATAGGAGGCAGTAAATAGCAGTATACGTGCTAACACACAAGTCATACGATCTCTCTCTAGACACAACATTTCTGTGAAGATAACGAGCTGCATCCTTTCCCATGAGAAAATCCTAACACATAATTGAATACTAGACAAAGTAAAACCAGAAAGTTTACTGGGAGTACTAATAATGAAGCTAAAGTTTGAATGTTTTGGACACATAATACAAAGGCAGAAGTCATCAGAGGAGACTCTGATACTTGGGAAAAATCAAAGGCAATCAAAACCTCCAGAAGACAAGGTGGCTTGATATGATCACTGATGTCACAAGCAGGAGCTTAACAAGAATTCAAACAAACAATTACTGAGAGACAATCCTGGAGAAATGATGTCCATTCACTCCTGAAGAGTCGGAAGCTATTGAACATCAGCTGTGTTAAAAGGGTTTCTTGTTTGAAGATAGCCCAAATCTTTGAGGTGGCATGACCTGTTCAGTAGAATGCTAATATGTTATTCTAAAAATGGTAAGTTTGAAGTATTAGGGAGGATAGTGTGAAAAGTCATTCCTGGTAGGACAAGGTTGCCTTATATTTGGGGTAATAGGGTGACTTAAAATATTTGCTTTGAGCTCAGTGGTTTGGATGGAGGTGAACTTAATGTATTCATAACCATCATTCTTTATCCTATGCAGGCAGGATTATAAGGCCCTTGCACCAGAAGGAATATATCCATGACTATTTGTTAGAAGAAAATTCAATAGGACTAAATTTCTGCAGGATCACTTGGAAGACCCCTTTGCACCTTGATAATGAGATTTACATCAAAATTAATTATAACCAGGTATGAAAGGAAAGGCCTTGCTTTGTTGGTAAGACTGTAAAGAGCTGGTATGAGGTAGTGGTTAAGGTCTAGACTAGGACTTGGCCATGAAAAAACAGTGGGATTGGGTGTGAGTCCGACACTTTCTGCCCAAACTACTTCAGTGAGTTGTTGTGGGGATAAAATGAAGACAAGTCCCCATGTTTGCCATCTTGAGCTCTTGGAGAAACTGTGGGGTGACCGTGATGATGATCCTCCTCCTGCTCCATTGCAAAGGGTGGCTTCACAAAAAGCTGAACAATTCTTCTGGAAAGTGACTCACATATTGCCTGAGCAGGTGATAAATTCCTATTCCCACTTTGCTGAATTTGCTGAATTTATTTCTTTATTAAACACATTTTTTGTCATCACAAGATAATGCTAGGAGTTGCAGAATCTGTGCAATTACAAAACTGTTGCTTCAGTGACATCCGCTTTAAAAGACTACTATGGAGAAGTACAAAACACTCTCCTGTGATTTATTTTCTAGGTCTTGCAGAATTATATGAAAGGAACCCTGTTGCAGCAGCACAGTAATAAACTTGGGCAGCAGCTGGGCACCTTGGCTTTGCTTCAGCACTGGGCCAGAGGAACTAACTCGATCCCTTCCCTGTAAGTCATTCTCTTTCTACAGTACTGGAATGGAGGTAGGAATATCAGTTCAGAGTAGACTTGTATAGACTAGATTATGTATGCATGCATGCATGAATGCACGCTGTCTAGAAGTGGCTCATAAGTGGGAAAAGATTGGGTGCAGAGACAGATTCCAGATACCTACAGTATTAGGGAAATGAGTCACTGCCTTGATCCTCTAGGTGTTTCCCATTAAAGCAGTTCTTTTTGCTCTCTGCAAGACATTCACATATTATGATCCCTCTGTCAGTATACTCAGAAAAGCCTTGCAACACCCCAAATTCTATTGTATCATTTCTTCCCCCCCAACCCAGATAGCTTTTTATTAACCCATTTTCAAACAAACATACATAAAATGAACAATTTACCATACACAAAAACAAAAGGAAAGAACATTAGACAAGAAAATATATAAAAAGAACAAGCAAACAAACAAACAAAAAACCAACTGTAACTACAACTATATCCCAACTTCACCTAATTTTATAAGTCTTTAAAAAGAAAAAACTAACCTTTCAGTGTTGATCAAGCCTGTCCAAGAATTTTTTTAAAAGGGAAAGATGTGACATTTTCTGTTCTTCTTGCTGTCCAAGATGCTCTGAACAATTTTCTCCAGCGCTACAATTCAAAGGCATCAATTTTTTTTTGAATGTATAATTTTTTCAAAAACTGCTAAATCACACATCTCTGAAATCCAATCCTTTATATCTGGAATTATAGTATTTTCCTAGCTCCTAAGGTTTATTCCGTTTGCTATTGTTAGAGCACGAAAAACCCAAATTTATTCTGAACATGTTAAATTCTAAGCAGTCAGTATAAAATTCAGTACTGTACAATATACATGTCTTTAAAAAACAGTGTTTTCTCAATAATCCTGTCAATGTATTGTACATCATTACTCCAAGGAGGTGTAAGGAAGAATATGACCATAACGTATGAGTTAAAGTGCCCTCAAATTTCTTGCAATGCCAAATCAAATAATCATTAGTCCATCCTAATCACATCATTTCTATTCTCCTCCATCCCTTGCGTTTTGGGTTGGGGGGCTTAGCCAGGGTAAAACAGGAAAGGTTTGTAGATGGAATGTTGCATGTGTATCTCAGGCTTCTTGAATCATGCTCATTGCTTCCATGTTGTAGCTCAGGTTGGAGGTGATACAAGTGAAATACTGTAGTATTGTGGTTATGGGTTCCTCAGAGCCCACAAAACTAGACAGTGGTTTGCAAAATTACTTACCAACAAGATAACCTAATTCCTTTTCCTTTTCAATAGATCTGATTAAAGAAGACTCTGTGAGAATCTTGTTTCCTCTTGCCAAGAGCTTGTCAATCATTAATGTCCAGGAGAGGCAATCACCACAGGGGTGATAGCTCCCTACCGTTCACAACAGCTTCCTCCTGAGTGGTGATCTCCAAAATGATTCCAGACCCCATGATTATTGCACACCATGCTTTATTTCTAGTGGCATGCCACCCTCATTCTAAATTGAAATTGCACTAGGAGCTCCCCTGCCCTCACACAGGATCTTGATTCTCTATCCAGATCAGTCCTCTCATGCCTACAGTATTTACTGATAGAATTGCCAATTGCATGACTAGCACTTGGTATTCAGAGAGTTTGCCATGAGTTCTTTCTAGTTTACTCTTGATAAAAATGGCAAGAAATCCTCTGTAATTCTTCCCCAGTTGTTGAAGGGTTTTTTTGAATAGCATCTAATTTGACTTTATAGTCAAGTCTGTGTTTTCTATTTGCCTAACTAGAGAGGAACTGAAGGATTACATTCCTCCTTCAATCACCCACATCAGCCCAGAAATTGTTCAGATTGCCATGGTTTATCAACTGCAGACCACAGAACCACTTGAACCACTGCAGGCACAAATACATTTTATTGGTGAGTTCAGCTGTTGCATTTGACAGAAATCCTAACCTTTGTTCTGGTTTCATGCTGCTACCGGACATACCTCTTGAATGTGATGTCATGGGATTTGATGGGGATTTATTTTTTTATACCTGCTTTCCTCCAAAGCAGTGACCTGCTTTGGTCATTGTACGACTACATGCATTGTATAATTAACCTCAAAGTAGGTTACATTCTTGTGACAGGCAAGATTTTGGCATGGCTTTATTGCCATATCATTTTATTTTATGTGTATATAAGTTGCCTATTGTTGCCAAAGCTGTGTATGCGTAGATGGCCTCCAAGGTCGATTCCAGTTTGCAAATGCTGTGGGTCAAGAGAATCTCTCCCACTTATTATATGGGGGGGGGGGGGATGGATGGATGGGAGGCTAAGCAAGGTGTTTGTAGTTCTCTATTTTGAATCTGTTCAAGACATTATTAGGAAAACTTACCAGATCTACCTGCATAGCTAATCAAAGTGGGTTAACCTGTTTTCTCCAAACACATAGCAGCAGTTGTGGTCAGTTCAGTCTGTGAATGGGCACAGGAATAAATATTTATTTTTATATAGAGGCCAGAGGCAAGGACTATAAACCTAAAGAGAGTATGGAAGATGACCTTGACAGATATGCAACTTCCATTGCCAAGGCAACAAGGGATAAACATGTTTTAAGTCCAGAACATCCAGATAACCTTTGGAAGCAGCTCACAAAGACAACTGCCTAATTCACTGAAGTACAAAAGGGGAGGCGTGCAACACAATCAGGCTTGCAGGATTCTGTTATAGTCAGTCTCAATAAAAGTCTTTTTAGCTTTTCTGTGGAATTGATTTCTTGGTCTACCTAGTGGAGCACAAGCACAGAAATGCTCCCTCAGGAGAAGATGCAAACATCTTTAGCAGCATGAAAAGCAGCTGCAGGCCCTCCAGTTGAGCTTTTGTAAGCAGAGGCTTTCCCAGGCTCAGCTCTGGTGTAATTGCCCATTTGGGAAGACATGCAGGCAGGGAATTGTACGGCAATGATCTGTCCAACCGTGGCTGCAAGAGTTGTGGGGTGTGCAATGTGCTTGGACCTGGAGGTTCAGGCAGCTTTGAAAGTGCCACAGCTTGAACAGTGTGGCTTTGAGCTGCATTCTTGCTCTAGCAGAGATGGCAACTTGTCCTGGAAAACGTGCATCCAACTGGTGTGGTTTTGCCTGTGAGGTCTGACATTACATTCCTGTCCTATTTCTCTTCTTGCAGAGCACATGATTCAGCTGCCACTCTTTAGCTATAATGTTTACTCTGTGGAGAGGATCAGCGCTCCAGATATCCCCACACCTTGCCTTGTAGGAGTGAACCAGGAGGAGATCGTTGTCATAGGCAGTGAGTCCCAGGTAGGGTTCTAGCAGAAATGTCATAATGGATGAGATGCTGGAACTGGAATACAAGCAGTTCCTAGATTAAGAACATCCAACTTATGGACAACTCGTACTTACCAATGGACTGCCATAAAGCCTATTATATTAAAAAAAATGAGTTAAATACAATGGTTCATAATAACAAATGCACACACCACTTTGTAATGCTCATGAAAACATTATGAGCAGCTTCAGTGGTTTGTCAGCTCAAGCAAGAACGCCGTCCACCATTTTATATACTATATACTAAGACAAACGTGTGACTGACATTAAATGAGAACCATATGTACCCGTTCTGACTTATCTACAAATTCAAATTTCTGTCTTTGACTTAGGAACAGATCTTGTTCATAAACCAGGGACTGCCTGTAGTATGGTATCACCTCAGGTCAGGACATCCCTCCTGGCTCTTGCAAGGATAGCGACCTTTCCTTGTGCTGTATTTGTCAGGAGACATTTTTATTCTAGCTCCACCAATGCATTTAAGCCACTCTTCTTCCACTTGCATCCATTATGTATGGCCTGTATAAAAGTTACACCTCCAGTACAGAAATGATAGATACATACATACCAAATGCTAGAATTTATTTATTTATTTATTAAATTTATATGCCGCTCATCTCCCCCAGAGGGTGACTCTGGACAGCTCACAATTAAAATCAAACAACAAAAGCAGTAAAAAAATAAATAAATATCCACTTTAAATTAGCTAAAAAAAATCATACTATATAAAAAGATTTATACATAAAAAGACTAAAATTCAAGATGACAGGGAGAATAATTCTATTAGGAATGAAAAAAGATGCCCTTTGCTAAGCCAGATTATTTATTTGGCCCAGCATTATTTAGGTCTGAAATGATTGGGATTAAATGGCTGGTGGGGTGGAAGGCCTTTACTCTTTTCCCACCACCATCAGTTCTGCTTGAATTAGGACCTACCATAGTTGCTATTTCAATTTTGAAGTTGGTGGGAGGGTGGACTGCTTTTATTCTTATGGACGTTCCTATCCTCAATACAGACTTAAAACTTAGTAAATGTGCCACACTGACCCCCCTCCCCATGCATGTCACTTTTTAAGAGGTTGCAAATTAGCTTGATCGTAATTTTCCAAAACATATTAGTGGGTTTGTTTGCTTGTTTTTAACAAAGCAAATTTTGAGTACAGTAAGGACCAAGATTTATGGTAGTGCTGGTAACTTCAACCTACGTTCCTTGGGGGTGAGATCAGGAGTGATTTGGGAGTTCATGGTTACCATGTCAACCACAGACCTGACCTAGATCATCAAGGGCCCAACTCAACAGCAATTTTGGCAACTGTTGGCCAATCCTCAGCTTTAATAGGTTTTTAGTTGCAAAAAACCCTGGAGGAAATGTATTAACTGAACCCTTTTCACTCTAGCTTTAGGCCTAGGAATGGCACTGAGACCATACTGATCGTGCTTGTGGACAATCTTTGGCGAGGCTGAGATGGGGAACACGCAGCCCTCTTCTCTTGAACTGTTAGCAGTCTTTGATACTGTCAGTCATGGACTTCTTCTAGATTACCTCCAGGGGTTGGGACTGGAGGGATGTAGTTTTGCAGTGGTTCTTCTTTCTAAAGGGGAGGTTCTAGTCAGTGGCAAGAGAAGAAGATTGAGTCCCAGGGCCCTCCATCGTGGGGGGTAACAGAATCAACACTCTCTTCACTCAACATCTACATGAAGCTGTGAGGGGGATGAGACATTATCAATATGTTGATAATGCCCAATTGCACATCTCGGTACTTGGCCCAACAGGTGATATCAAGGTGCTTTCGCTTGAAGGCTGTTAAGGTCTGGCTCTGGCTCAGGCTCAGTGCCAGCAAGATGGAGCTGCTTTAGGTTTGAAAGCCATCAGGTTCCAGGGATATTCTAGCTTTGGTTCTGGATGGGGTTGCACTCCCCTTGTTATGGCCTTTCCTGGAGCAGGAAGCTCTACTTACCATCACTCATGCCTTGATCACCTCTTGTTTGGACTACCAAAATTCTCTCTGCAGATTTGATGGTATGTGGGAATGACCCTGGGAGGCAGGAGGAAGACCTGTAGCCTAGGCAATGGTCTGTTAAGAGGCAGCTCAGTCTGCAGGTGGGGGAAAAGCATGAGAAGTGTTTCAGAAGGAACTCTCCCTAGTTTTCTGGAGACTAAACAGAGGAAGGGGAGAAATACTTTCAGTCTTGCAAGATTCTGTTTAATGTAATCTCACAAAAAAGATAGTGCTGATGCTCCTGGTTGTGCTTCTTGTCTAGACTACCTCAAAGGGCTAACAACAGCCCTTTGATACTTGGAAGTTGCAGCTGGTCTAGAATGCAGTCGCTTGAGTAGCCTTTTTATCATCATCAAAATACCACTACTATGAGAGCTACACTGGTTATCAGTCAACTTCCAGGTGCAATTCAGGACCATCTAATCCCAATGGTATCTGCCTCCTCCAACATCCCTCGTCTCTGGAAATGCCATCAGCAGGGACAGTGGAAGCAGGCCTTCTCAACTGCCACTCCCTTTCATTGGAACAGAGTCCCCACAAAATTTGGTTAGCCCCAATCCTGCTGGGATTTTAAAAAGCCAATAAAACCTAGCTATTTAATTAAGTTTTGGGAGCTGATATGTTATGAGGTGAACCTCGTTAATTGAGTGTTAGAGTGGTGGTGAATGAAGAAGATACTACATTATTGCTCTAATTATTTATTCTGCTTCTTGTTTTAACCTTGTTTATGTGTTAGCCACTCAAGGTAACAACTGGAGCAGCTTATAAGCCTAGTAAAACAAACAAATATAATTTTAGATCAAATTTTCCATTCCAAAATTATCAAATTCTATGTAGATAGCAACACACTGTGTTCACAATATCTGAATGCTGTTGGCCACATTCAGCCCCCCAAATGGAGCTTCACCGATGTATTTTAACCCCCCCCCCAACAGAACCGGAAAACTGTGGGCCTGGAATTTACTTTTGAAAATCATTCACAAAATTGATAGTGACATACTGTATAATTATAGCCTTCATTGAGAACATTGCCACTTATTGGAAGCTGACTGAAAAAGAGATATGGAATACTAAAGTATGAAAAAGTCCGAGTAGTGATTACTGATTCTGCAATGTCTAATGTGCATGTCTTTCCTCACGTGCAGAGCAATCGTGTCACCATTCCACTGAAGCAGATACTCCGGATGAAAACCTTACGCCCACTTGATGCATCTAGCTTTCCAGGCATAGAAATCAACTATGGCTCAGTAGAAAATCCTAAAACAATCTGGTTTGAATTACAACAGGTAACGTTAATCATGCCATCTCTTTATTGAAATATCCTAAATGTTTATTGCACGATCTTTTTTTTTATTAATCACAGCCAAAGATAGCATATCATAGGTCAATACAGACGGCAGCTGTGGCTTTGCACTGTAAAAATCAAACCCTGGCTGGCAACATCAGCTTTCAGCATATACAGTATGTTTGGGGGAAAGGGGATTGTTCTAGCTCTGAGAGAGAGGGAGGATACCGTGCCTGCCAACAGACTTGTTTTTGCTTGCTTACCTCAGTGATTTGTGGTCTAGACCAAGCAAGAAACAAATGATGGACTTACAGAGTAGATAAAATTCTGATAGATCCAGTTGTGGTTCTAAAGCACTCAAATGCTTTCTTTATGAAGAAGGGACATTCTGTCACCCTGAAAGTTACGTATTGTATTTGTACAGGCACAAAGAGTTATATGTTTGACAGATGTGTGTTTTGGACTTTGCTTTGGAAGGAAAAACTGCATGTAAGAAAGGAAAAAAGCATTTCACACAGCTTTCTCTTTTGACAGGCTAAAGCATTATATCATTTAATTACTATCATCGCTGATGAAGCAGATTCCCAGATTTAGTGACAACCAATGCAACGTGGCTGCAGTATCTTTTCCCAGTACTCAGAAAACACCCATACTCTTTGGATATGTCTACTTGCCAAGTGCTTTCTCTCCAAGTAGATGTGAGCTATGGAAACTTCGTTCTTTCGAATCACCACCCACCATTCTCATATCATCTTTCCTGCATTACCTCCAGCCCTTGGACTTGCAGACAGCAAAAACAGCTTCTCAACTTCAAGCAATACAAATATACTATAGGTGCTTTGGAGTATCGTTGGGTGGCTCACCTAACACCATATCCGCAACAGTGCTGGCTCTCATTCTTTTGAACGCAGAGAAAACTTAGGTTAGTATTATAATATAAATATAGATGGTATTAAAGTTCTGTTCCAACACACAAAAGCTGCTCTATTAGAGGAGATTATTCTTCTCTGATACCCATTTACTGTATTTGTAACTAAATTATTTAAATGTGTCCAGAACTGTAAAAGTACAAATCATTAGAATTCTTTCCTGAATCAGTTATTTATTACATACACAAATGCACATATTTATTATCAGCCTGAATCAATCCTCTGCAGGATGAAAACCCTTTCACTGAAGTTATAATCCACCTTGCTGATCTAGCCACATTGGAAGATAGATGTTTTTCCACTTCCCAATCTAGGGCTGAGAGACAGTGACTAGCCCAAAGTCACCCAGCTGGCTTCTATGCTTAAGCGAGGGCTGGAGCAAGGGTCTCCTGACTCCTAGTCTGGCACTTTAAATCACTATACCACTGGGGTGCTCTGTCACACACACACACACACATGCACACATTACCCTGCTTCCTAAAGTATAAAATTAAATATATTTTCTCCAATAATACAAATAATTCAGATGGGCAGCCTTTAAGAATGTCATGCACATGCAAAATTGAATAGTAGAAAATTGTATTAATTAAATATTATTTTAGATCAGAGCAAATACTAACTGTACAATAACTACCTACATTTTTATCAAGTGTCTGCATTCCACAGCAGCTGCATCTTAAATCCTGTCAAAAATAAATCAGTACAAAGTAACGGTTAAATAGGACTTCCTTATAGTGTAGAAGTTCACAGCTTCCGTAGACTTTAACATGAAGGGAATCCTTTACTTCCGTCAGTGTAAATGTTTTCCAACAGCAGCCAAAAATAAAAACTAAAACCAAACTCATTATCTGGGATTTGACCAGCCAATCCTTTAACATGGTAAACTATGAGGAAATGCATATGATCTCTATCTTAAAGCAATCAGAGCTATCAGTTGAGAAGGATCAATATTATCTTTTCCATCAGTTAGTAAGCAATATGCTTTATCGTTTGGATTAATACAAATTTTAAGAGACCAGTCAATGGAGCAGCAACTCTTGTTTGGGGTATTTGAAAGCCCAGGTTTTGAGCAACTGACTTTACAAAGGTTGGGCTAAAGCAGTCCTCTTCCAGATTAGTTTGGGATAAAACTTTGCTCAGTCAAGCCCTACTCTTCAGACTGCACATCTTTTTTTGTTTTTAATTTAGGAAATTAAAAATGTTTCACACCAGAAAGAATTTTGACATTACTGTAAATTGATGGAAGATTTTATCAGCTGCTTGATTTCAAGCAGTTACTTATTTATGCAGAACGATGATACAGAACCATCAATTAAACTTTTAAGCCTAATGGCTCATAAACAGACATTTTCTGAGTTTGGATGGCTTTAAAATATCTCCACATAATATTACCATCACCACCCCCAAGGTAAACATACTTTAAGTTCAGAGATAGTAATGCTCTCTGTCCAAATACCTTGTTGATTTTTAGTTCAGAAAAGAAATTAAGTGGAAAATGATAGAGATGTATAAAATTATACATACTTTACAAAAAGCAAGAATAGAAATTTTTTTCTCTCTCTCATAATACAAGAAACCAAAATCATTCAGCTGAATGGTAGGAGATTCAAAACCAAAGGTCTATGTTCCCCAGTCTCTTCTTAGGGACTTATTCTGGCTTTGTACTGGTTAACTGATAACCTGGTTGCTGTTTGCTAGTTTCATTAGTCTGCACTTAATCAGAATGTTCTTGCAAACAAACAAAAAAGGAGTATACGTATCTAAAACTATGCATAACAGTGTTACTAATCCTGTGATAACCAAGGGCATTTTCACATCATCACAATATCTGTTCCCTGATCCTTCAAAAGCAGTTTGAAGTTAACTAACGGTCTTCACTGCCACCAGCCCCAAAACATACAATAGCACGAGCCACTCAGGTTTTCCATCCAGCGGTCCTACAGGAGGGCAGAAAGAACAGCGCAGTCAGTGGTCCCTGGGTCCGTATTTTTAGTTCCTGTTGTTCGCCCAGTGCTTTCCTCACCCCAGCAAAAGAGTAACTGTTATGAGGAGATGCAAAGCTGCCAAGGTACCAGCTGTCCGTTGGTTTAATAACATCCGCTGAAATGATACCACCTCAGAATGATACTACAGGAGCTGAATCTCTGCAAGGAGAGGGAAGAAGCTGCTTGGCCTTAGGAGGGAGGGCAAGGCAAGTTCCCAGTATCAGGAAACAGCCCACTTGTTTATAACTATGGAAACTGCAGGAGGACATAGTTCTCAATGGTTTTCATATGCACAATTAAAAGAAAGGTTTAATATGGATAAAAAGACAATTGGAATTGAAAAACAATGAATGGAATTTGAAATTGAATTATGTATAAATGATGAACATGTAATAGCAAAAATGTATAGATTTTTGTTAAGTTTTGAAGAACAGGTTAAAGACAAAATGGGCTATTAACTTTGGATATAACATAGAGGAGGACACTTGGGAGAGAATGTGGGTAACTGGTATTAAATTCACATTGTGTCATAACTTAAGAGAAAATTTTTATAAAATGATGTATCATTGGTATATGACACCAGAGAAATTATAAAAAATGTACAGAGGTATTTCAAACCAGTGCTGGAACTATGAAAAGCATGAGGGAACATTTTATCATGCATGGTGGAGTTGTGAGAAGGCTAAGAAATTTTGGATACAAATTCACACAATGATGCAAAAGATTTAAAGATTAATATTGCGAAGAAACCAGAATTCTTTTTATTGGGACTTATGGACAATGAATTAGAAAAGACTCATGGTAGATTGATTTTGTATACAGTACAAAATCTTACTCTTTTTTGTTTCTTGCACTTTTTTCTTCCTTTGTCTCTTCCTCTCTTTCCTTTTTTCTTCTGATGAGCCTTTTATGCTATGTAAAAATTCTAAATAAATAAGTAAACAAACAAACATGGATGGATGGATGGATGGATGGATGGATGGATGGATGGAAGAAAGAAACAGCCCACTTGCAAATTTGTTAGGGCTTCAGGGGTGCAAGTGGGAAGATTTCTATTTATGTCATTTTAGATACACTGCAGCCAGAAATAAACCAGCTCCGCTGTTGAACACAAACAATGGTATGCGCTTTACCTGGAGCACAGAATGATTCTCATTTGAAAATTCCCCTAGTTCACAGACTACGTTAAGGAGCCACAGACTAACTAAATTTATCATACACATAAAGTTTAGTTGTAAATAAATAAAAGCAACCATGGTAACATCTTTAACATTCACTTTATTAGCAGCTTCCCATGTACCTTTAAAGTAACAAAGCCTATTTCTCCAGCAGAAGCTATTTAGAAGATCTCTTCCACAGTTCCACCTTTGTCTACGAGCTCTCAGCATCAGAAAGATCAGTGGCTTTTCTAGGGACAGATCTAAGGCACGGGTCAAAAAACCACAATTATAAAAATTATTATTTTAATCAAAAATCTCCAAATATGACCAGTGCCTCTTAAATATCAATAAAGCAGCATTCTCCTTATAGGCTCTGGGCCACTTTGCTATAATACTGAGTTACCAGTTAGGTCCAGGTTGGAGGCACAGTACAGTAGTATGGCTTTTAAGTATTTGACATATGAAAAAAATTAACTCATCTCTTTCAAATGCACATTTATTTCCCTAGTTATAATAGGGCATGTGAGCAGGCTGTAAAAATATTTTTTTTCCTTGCCTGGAAACAAGGAAATATGAAGCACTTCGTCTTCAAGGTGAGAACTGGAGACTATAGTGGCTGATAAATTTCTCACATTTTTCATATTTTAAGGTGCTAATTTTACATATTTACCTAAAAGCATATATTTTTTTAATGCAACAAACCCCTGTTTTATATGTGTGGCGATTCCAAGGTCCCCTGAAAAGTTATAGCTCCTCACCATACAACTAAACTGTGAAACAGCCTTGCAAGAACCCATTGAAAACGTTTGTGAATAATGATCTCCTGTAAGAGTCCAGAATTTACTCCATATGCAAAAATAAAAACATAATGTAAAATATTACTACTACATAATTATAGGGCAATGTGCACTGACATTGCAATGGCGATTTTCCTTAAAAGTATATTAGGCATTTCCATTTGATTGCTACCAAAGAATAGAATCTTTGGGAAGGAGGGGATTGACCTGTGGTCTCTTTTTATTCCTGAGGTTTCATGGAAAGAAAAAAAAATCTGCTCCTAACTAGACATTTCCAATTGTAATAGTTGTGCATATTCCCACTTGGATAAAGAAAGACATGCCATCAAGGAGCAGAAGAAAGACTCAATGTGATCCTTTCCTTAAAAATAACGTTTCTCTTTCCAAACCCAGCTTAGGGTATAACAGAGTCACTGGTCATGCTGACGGGAAATGAAGGAAACTGCAGACCCCACACATCTAGCAAATACTGACGGACGCAGGAAGAGGAAAGAATCCAGCAATTGTGCATGTAGAACTTCGTATGAGAGCTGGGTTGCTGGAGCAGTAATTGGGAACAAAAATAATGTAGGAAAGGTTAAACATCAATAAAGTTCCCACATTGGAAATTCCTCCCTAAACAGCTCTTTGAAACAAAGCTGCATAGGTTTAATTAATACTGCTTGCTATGCCCTTAATTTACTGTATTGAAATTGATATTATATTACCAACTCAGGGAAGAGTCTGTCAACGTGCAGCCCGGTTGGCTCAGCATTTCTCATTTTGTTACAGCATCTGAGTTTTAATTAAAAAATAATAATTCTGGTGCAGGAGAACACTTTCGGAGCACAAGAAACATGTCAACATCATGAAAGAACAAACGTCCAAAGAGCTTTGGCCAAAATAACCCCTCCAGGTTTCCTTCCAATGATAGACTAGCAGGTCTTCTCCAGAGTACTCTATAACAACTCACTCTCACAGCAAAGGAACCCTGAGTGAGGCAAATGCATTTCTTCTATTTAAGGCTGCTGCCCGTAAAATCTGTATTAAAAGATTGGGAGACTCTCAAGTCACAATCATATGCCTAGTCAAATAATAAAATTCAGTTCGTTCATACTTGCTAGAAGAAGGAAAGTGGACTG